ATTGGCATTTGCCATGCTTACCAAGCCTGTCATTACAAAGTTAGTTTTAACAGGTAACAAGGAGCGCCTTCAGAGATATGAAATTTTGAGTAAAAAAACCAAACTTCATCATCGTATTATGGTTTTCCCAGTTTTTGTCTCCTTCAGTTGGTTACTTCATGGATATTGATATTGATTACGCGTATTGATATCAGCTGTTGTTATGTTTATACCAAACCTGTCATTATTATTCCGAGTTAATAATTAAGAGTGATACTCTGGCATTTCTTTGGTAATACTTGAAATGTAACTTTATGTTTCAGTTAACATTATATTTTAAGTTGAAATTGCCAGTTTAGGGGCTTGTTGCCTTTATGGTTTTTATACAAATACAAATTCCCATATTCATGAGCAAATTTTGTGACGTCAAGGCAGACATTTCAGTTTCACATCTGCTTAAGCCTAAAATGTCACCAGAATGCTCGGGGTAAGCTGTGAATATGTTGACTGCTTGCAGCGGTTTATTGTTGTTTCAGACTGTATATGACAGTAAGAATTAAAAACAATATATATGCACTAATAATAAACACAATTTTGGGCTTTGAACTTGAAGTGAAACTCCCTTATCTGACGAGTGTTCATAAAAGACATCACGCTGCAGCGCCCTCAGTTGTCAGGTAAAATTGATTGTTACAAAGAGTGCTACTTTCGAAACCTTGTACTATTATATGGATTTCTTATACTTTTTTTTTTATACATTCCAGAGAAATAGATATTAGCACATTATATGTCTCAAGTGGTAAATTCATTTCATTGACCCTTTAAATGTACAGTAACTGACGTTATTGTTGTTGAAAGCATACTTGGTTTCATGATAGTTTTAAAAATGATGGACTGTTCCTTTATAACATAATCAAGAAGAGACCTATTCATTTCACTTCACACAAGCTAGAACAATCCCGAAAACTATTTCTATTCTGATGAACAACTTTTTCATTTGCTTTTCATAGCATAAATCAATGACGAAAACTGTCCCTTCTTAATGCTGAAACAACTGGGAAACCTATACTAGTTCAACACAAGTCCTTCCGGCCACCAATGGAGGCGTGTCAGTGGCGTATCAAGGAGGAGGGGTGTTGCATCCTGCCTTTCAGCCACTGACTAATGTTATGATACCAGCAAAATGGGGTCACAACGATTAAACTGAATGCTAAAAGTCCTATATATATAATTTTCACTGCCTTGGAATGCAGGAGAGAGCATCACATATTTCAAAACTTTCTGGGTCATGCCCCCTAGCAGGGCGCGCCGTCAGCACGCGTCATATCAACCACCGTTTCCTAAAACTTAAAAGCTACATCGGCGCTGCGTGTTCCCTACCTACATTCATCGCTCATACAGACTACCATTGCATGCTAAAGCTGCTGAGGTTATCTTACATGTCGAAGTTGTGAATTATTAACTACAAGCGTGCTTTTATCGGGTCTCGAGTCCGTCCATTATGTCAATGAGCTTGATCAAAGCTAGGTGTCTGCTAAGTGTTGGCACTGGTATGAAAGTCCATTTGAATCAAAATACTCCTGCAATATGGTGCTTGTACACGTACACGTAGATATACAGTATGCAGAGTATTACGAACAGATCAATAATCGCTAATATTCAGACGCGGGTAAGGTTGCAAAAATTCATTAAAATAAACCATGGTTTTGCTGTTGGTGATATACGGAAGTTTGAGTCCAACGGTGGGCAGATGGATGACAGTTTACGATCGAAGGACCACTTTGAGTCCCCAGACTTTGTAGGTATTCCCCTTCATAAGAACAATGTGTAGCATATAATTATAATGCTCTTATGTGATGAAAATGAGTCGGAGCTGAAAAGAACATTTTGAAATAAACCAATCTTCCAAGACTCAGTGGTTTGAATCTTACGCGCTGCAAATAACTCAGAGGATGACCTTTGCTATTTTAATTTACATGCAGTAACAGTGAGTGCACAAAAGGTTCACTCATGCCTATGCACGCAATAAAACAACATTGCCCTCTATGGCTTAAGGTCTATTTCGAAATCTTAATAAGTAGTGTAAAGATGTCCTAGTCGTATGGTTGTATTGAACGCGAATGACGTGATTTTATGCAATCCTCGGGCGGAGATTCATGTTGCCTATGAATCTTATCTTTGCAAAAAGGAACACACGTATACACGAAAACAGGTTTAACGAAGTCAAATACCGCCATATGAATGTCATAAATAGTATAATATTACGGTTCGTGAGTAATATCTAATATTTAATGTTTACTACAAAAACACAATATCAACATTTAGAAACCAACATAAATTAACTGTTTCAGACAAAGGAAAAATATAGTTCAGTCTAAATCTGGTCGATAATATTACATATCAAGCTGTTACTCCTTTTCTTCCGCTTACAATGACAGTATATCGTAATGGCAATGGTAATCATTATTTTGGAAAATAACAAGTTGTTTCTCTTACTTTTTATTGAAATCAAACTAGAACATTTCCTACCTTTGTTTGTTTGTTTGACTTGCTATACCGACGGGCTGTGTGTTGCAAACAGCTACCGAGACTGTGGCATCACAGTCTACCAATGAACGGGTCGGTTCACTGCGTTCTGGGACTTGGTTCTGGGTGCGAATTCAGACACAAATCCACCGATGTTCATCAAAGAATAAGGTTCAGTTTCAACGGATGTATAGCCAGTATGAAAAGGAAAGAACATGTGAGGTTGTTGCAATGCAGAAACATTATAAAGGTGTGCCGTGCCAGTGACGTACGCTCGCGATAAATAATGTGTGCCGATAGACTTGACAAACGTCGTCACTTACGTACAGTACAGGTACCGGTACATTGAACACTGATCCACAGCACGCACCATGTGAATACGACCGTTTATCACAGATTGGAATTGCAGTCTACGGAACGTAGTGAGAATGTATATGTCTGCTGCATACTCAGACTTGAACAATACACTGCTTAATACAGTGCCCTGCGCAATGAGTACATGAAATCATTGTATTTCTTGGCAAATTCTCCATAGTCGCGTGCGTTGTCACGCTTGTTGCCCAACTGTGATATCGGTCCCCATGTATTTTGGTCGCCCAGACGTGAAGTACGCATAGTACATGTATATGTTCTCTTTTGGAAATTCAGAAACTAAATGCAGATACAATTGTATGGGGTGGACATATCTGACTAATGACGATTGGGAAACTGTGCTGTACCCTTAATTACGCTTATATTCCCTCACCAAACACAATTTGCTTTGTCTCAGAAAATTGGGTCGGTCGGGTGATCCGAGCCGAAGGTATGTTTTCTTGGCCTTAATTATCATGAAATTTTCAGATTCATTTTCACACGTTTGGGTATCAATATTTCAACTTGAAATTTCACGAAAATTAGACATCTGAAAAAGGCAGCACTTTCTCATTAGCCTATCAAGAGGGTGAGTATACTTCTAAAGCAAAGACAAACTACAAACTAATCCTAAATGTTAAAATCAAAATTTGACAAAGTTCGACATTTTTTGTACAAGGTGGAAGTGTGGCCTTTATTTACGGAGGTAGTCCAGTAAATTGGCCACATTTATGGAGCTATGTATCGGGGTGAAGGCCTATACGATAAGGATAATAATGATAGACATTTCGCCGTAAACTAAAATACATGTATCCATGATTATCGAGCCAGACACTAGTAGTATAGAATACGGATGAATGCTTACGGGAATTAAATGTCCAGAAATAAACATGATATAAATTAAAGTCAAATTACTTACAAATAGTCAAAATACTTACAAATAGTTGGCTACAGAAATGTGTAGTGAGTTGATCGGGAGCGTGGAGGCAACTGATTCGAATCTCCCGCACGCCGGGGTGACGCGAGCAAAGATATTACGTAATTGCATACCAGAGATGCCTAATCGGGATTGGTCGGGGACTGACTGGATTAAACCTATGTAGTAAGGGCTCTATTTAAAATAAGGGTAATAGTTTAATACTCGAAGGAGAAAATAAATAACGGAATAGACTCATAGCGGTGACGATTACAGGCTTATATTGCATGCTTCCGTCCGTGCAAGGTCGCGTGTACATAATCCAAATCGTTTACAATCCTTAAACAATGCTTCGAAATTTGGTGAGAATGCCATGCCCCTTTTTTATTCAATTTTGTACAGGTTTTACCGTATGATTTAGTACATTTTGCAGCCTACTTTCACAAATTTAACGCCTAAGTTATATGCGGGCTGGACGCAGTAAAAAAATAACCCTGGAGGAGGGGCAAGAAATTGCAAGTTGAATGACGAGATGAGAAGTCAGCCCTTCAAGGAATTCTTGCCACGAATCTTCTCCTGACACTTCAGCAGGTGGATAAACTGGAAACAGCTCCTTGTAGTTCAACGCCTGATTGTTTCGAGCCCGCGAAATATTTTGAATCGACCTCACGCATAGCAGCCATCTTAGAGGGCGTCTTTTGTTCTGTAATCTAGTAGCAATGAATGCACAAAAGGTTGACTCATGCATATCCCTGCAAAACAAATGCACTGTCCTCCAAGATGGCTGCTGTGTATAATGTCTATAAAGAAGGAGCGATATACATGTAGTTTCAGTGCTGAAATGGGGGCGCTGTTTTTGTAGTCTATTGCAAACTTTACACGGCAGGCAGCAGTGAAAAGTCAACTACTACAGTTTAGTATTCTGTGCTAAAAGGGGGCGGGACATCGCTCCAGTGGGGGAGGACATATACAGTCAAACTTCATAGCAGGCGATGGATTTACTGGAGGAAGATTTGACCTGAACTTGCACCGACACATCCTACTATTGCACTCCCGTATCAAGCAGGTTTGCAAAGATAACAGCAAGGGTTCGAACCCACGAGCAAAAGTACAAAAGGAAATGCGCAATGACAAGCTGTGGTGAAAAACAGAATATTTGACGGTGAAAACTTTGGCTTGACATTATAAGTATTTTGTTTTAACAAAGAAAATATTACAAACCAAGATATACAATATCTCTAATATCATTTATTTTTGTTCACTATGTCCGAAATAATCCAGCTGCAAAAATATGAAACAGTTACAAAAATAAAAAAGTCCATCCAAATATTCCCGTCACACAAGTTGAATTTTAGGGTAAACATTTCAAAAAAACTAATCGTTTTGATATTGAAACATTTATAACCTAAGTGCTAATGTTTTACTTTCATTGAAGCCAGAAACTTGCGATCTTTTTCTTGCAGGTAAACATAAACAAAAAACACATTATTAAATCCTGGACATCAACAAGTGCTAAGAAATACACTGACAACATGCCTGCGTTAATTTTACACAAGAAATGGTGAAAACTGCAACTTTACCCAAAATTGGGTTGTTCTATAACTCAGTGAAATTTGTAAAATGGAGCCTGGCTTTAATGGTTTAACAAAAAATGCATAATGCAAAAATCCTAAAAAGAGGCAAAGTATGAAGTAATTTCAAAGCATATTCTTTGTTAACCCAATTAAACATTGTATGTTTAATTTCATGGGTCATGGGGTTTGTTCCCTATTTTTGGAATAAAATATAACATAACATATCTATAACCAATTGTTTGGGTACGAATTTCTGTTAAATTCAACCAAAAGTTGTAGTCATAGACGATGCGAAAGTAACATGGAACTATTATGACCTTGCATCATTAACTACATCTATCCATTCCAGAACGAAGCAGACAATTTGGAAAAAACATCATTTTATATTAATGATTAACATCAAACTCTAAACAAAGAAGCGTACAAGTAAATAAATCCAGGACGCACAGACATGCGATTGATTACCAAAACGGACAGTTAGATTAGTGGAGCGTCTCACAGAAAAGTTGTGGAGACCTTGATTTCATTTTTAGATTCAAATACAAATGAAACAATTACAAAATAAAACCTTGCTCTTGAATCCATGAATATATTTTCGACTATAGCTTGAAGTTTTCGTTTGCATCAGCTTGTTATATACATTAATTGTCTTAAATATAAAACTTCCTTTGTGATATCACACTATTATTGAAAGTGTAGATTACTAGAGGTATTATATTAGGAATCGAGAGTTTACTGTAGATTCGTTGCGAATTCACAGTAAACTGTAGATTCGTAACGAATCACGGTTACCATGGATTTTGAACGTTTGTAAATTTACGATTAGTGTACTGCTGAATAAGGTAAAATGAAAAACAAACCGAAAACGCAATAATGTTGCAAAAAAGTACCATATTGTACTATTGGTAAGTTGTAATATACTAGAGATAATTTGGAATGTCACCATCATTGCCAGTTGTCAAACTGATCTTCGAGACAATGGAATTGACAAATCTTGACATCGTTTTACTGGTAATAAACAGTAAACAATTGAAACATAATGCAAATAAGTCTTGAAGATGTTTAATAAAACAGGATACCAGACTAAATACACATTCACATTAAGTTCTTACATACGTGTCACATGACTTGTTACATTGAGAGCTCAAGAAAACTCTTCTTGTTTTAACTGATTAATTATTCTTTCAGGCGAAGCATAGACTAATCTCTGACAATTTTTTTTTTCACAATACATTAGGTGGATATTTACGCAAGATTTTATTAATTTGTTATAAAGTTTCACTTGCTCAGAACAGCGCTGTGTGAGTCATTATTATGACGGCAGCACAATTCCAGATCTGATCGAAAATGAAAATGACGAGTTGTTGAGCTGTACCCTGGAACTTTGAACAGATTCTTGGGACTATAAAGCCACAACACGTTAAAATCTCCATGATATGTATAAATGTGGTTGTCTCGGATGTATTCAGGAATGTTCACCATTTTGTCTCTGGCAATCCTCAGGTGACTCGTTAGAGTTGAGAGAAAATAAGGAAGGACATTCAAGTCTAAGAAGCAAGAAACGGATGAGAGAGAACAATTCTTGATGGAAACCACGTGATACGGTGTGACATTTGCCCTTGACGGGAATCGAACCGAATGGTTGTGCAATGGGAGTACCCGGCCACCACCTCAAGTGTCCAGATAACACATCTAATACAAACAGCCACGATTCAGAGTCAATAAGCCTCAAAGACACCCTGGTTGGATGTGAACCTCGCCAACACAGACAAGTAACAAGAAAGGATCATAGGCGGATAACCAGATTGAGTAACACAAGCATCCAGAATAGACAATAAAGTAACTCTGGTTGGATACGCCGAATCCGCTGAAAATTCTCTGATAAGTAATGTACTTCACTAATTGTCAATTTGTAATACTTCTCAACAGGACTATTTGCTGAGGGGGGGGGGGGTCATGCCCGTTACATTTTCTTATGTCCGATTGTAGCAGACAAGCGGACATTTAGGTAATTGTTATTACTTTAATTTTTATGTTTTTGTTTTTGGGTGACAGAGCAGAAAGGGGGTTTCGACCTCCACCCCCGGGATCCGTGCCTGTCTCAACGTGTATTGTCACAGGATATGTCTTTTGTATGCTTACCAGCGCTGAGAGTTACACAGAGATTCGAGCGAAATAGCCCAACTGTCCAATTTCAAATGTTGGTGATGTAACTGGTAAGAAAATCAACAAATTTATGTTATCTTTTTGTAAAATTTATCTAAGAAAACGTGACTTCTGGAAGATTTTCCTTGACCATCTGCTTGACACGCTCTGCATTGGGACCTTTGTAATCAAGCTTAAACAGGAGTAGTTCAGGCAGATTCCTGAGATGAGCAGTAAGAGTCTCCAATCCAACCTCACTGAATGAATTGCCTTCAACATTAAGCGACACCAAACCATGCCCAGCAGGGAGGATGCTGATCAGGTCATGGATGTCATCATCATTCAGTCCACATGATTCTAATACCAACAACAACAGGAACGGAGAAACAAGAGGGGCTACACCAGCCAGATGGCCGTGAAGGTTGGTATAGTACACAAATACCCATGCCAACCTATCACAACCAGCCAGTGCATTCGCAAGTCTAATGACATCATCATACGTTCTCAGCCACAGTGCCACTTTCTGAATGATCTGCTTGCATACACGAGACAGGGATCCTAACACACGCTCACCAAGGTGAGAATCCTCATCAATCTGCAGTTCAAGCTCTATTTGATCACGAAGCCTCTCGACCACCACTACGGCTGTCTGCATCTCCTCGTCTGGTTTATCCGACACATTGTAAGAGACAGACACCCGAAATCTCCTGATTGACCTGATGTTATCAATCGGTAGTATCTCCTCCAGCAGCTTCAGGCATTCATGCAATCTACTGGTGATACTTAAATCAATGCGTACCTTTGTGTCATCATGCAGTAGGCTATCAATTCCCCTCAACGGCGCCAATTCTTCATGCGATCTGCAGCGGACAGTTAAGTCCTTAAGTTCTACTAGTGGCTGACGGAGACACTGCAAGTAATAGCGCATTGCTAACAGATCCTCCTGACTATCACACTTCGCTTTAGTTGGTCGGTCTAGCTTATCAGCCAGTTTGCCACAACCAGACTCCAATAAACACAGGTGCGTCAGTGGCTGCAGTTTAATCTCGGGAAAGAATTCTGCCTTGCTACGTTGTTTTTGTACGTGCTCGAGGATGAGCGGAGTAGCCAGAGACCCTGATGATATACCGCATGCAAACCGAAGCAGATATTCCATTGCACGGACATTGCCTGGATTGATCTGCTGCAACCTCTCATGAAACTCCTTTTTGTTTGCGTGATGCAAATTGGCAAAGTAGTATGCTGCAAAGTACTCTTGCATAGACTTGTGTTCGAAAGCTACTACTTCATCTTCTTCAAGCCACTCGTGAAACTTTCTTGTTGAAGGAAACCAAATCGACACCCATCCTTCAAGGCTTTCTCTTCAAATTCCTCCGAGGAGAATACGAGCCTTTCCCCCTTGGGGTCTAGTAACCCATCAAGAGCGACTGGTCCCAGTCCACGCACGACTGATTTCACCAGCGCCACCTGATCCTCGCCTTCATTGCAACGGCGACTGACTAGAACATCAGCAAACTGTGTGTAAAGTGCCGTTAATTGATCAGGCAGTTTTGACAGATTATCCCAAATTATGCACAGGAAGAGTACAAGGATTGGAATCTGGGCCAGTGTGCGCATCAATGAGCTGGATGTCACATGTGAAATTAATAATTCACCATTTTTGGCGTCACATTTTGTAGCAAAGTAGGATGTTATGTATTTCTGTGCAGTGTCGAGTGTGAAACCCAAAGTTTGTAATCTGGTGTAGTGCGGGTATCCCTTGATGGCAAAGTCAATCATGTGTGGCCGAGTTGATACTAAGACAGTGCTGCGTCTCAACACCTTGTTATGCAAGATGTCCTTGACCCCATAGCCACCTTCCGGGGCCGGAGAATTGAGAACATGGGATGGAATCTCATCCAATCCGTCCAATAGGAAAGCTGTATCCGCTTCGTAATCATCAATAACTTTCTTCAAAACTGCCTTCTCAATGCCAGGTAAAATCTGGTCTCGTATGGCCTCAAGGACGCAGCTTGTCTTTTTCATTTGGCTCAACTTTAACGGGAACACAAGTTTGAACTTTGCCATATTGGAATTTGGATCAGTACTCGCATTTGCAACGCTCAATAAAAGAGTAGACTTGCCAAATCCTGCCCTCCCTGAAAGAATGACCCGGAGCTTTGTTACTAAAACGTCAAGCATATCTTCAAAAGAATATAGGGGCTTCGTTCTAGGTTTATCTAAATCCCGTGTCCCCTCCGGTAAATGGATGAGTTCTTTTGTCGTCTCATTACTTTCTACGTTCTGAGTGAGTTCTAGTTCAGAAAAGTGGTAAATATCCAAGGTCCTGGAAGGATCCAAGGGATGTGCTGGGATAGTACATGTTTGATCGTTGTTGTACTCCAAAACAAGCTGCTGGATATTCGTCAGATCAGTACGGGGTGCGAATCCACCAGAAGGCCCTGAAACGAAGTTAGAATTAGCAGAAAATGTACCGAGTTCATATCATCGCGCCAAATTTCTCACTTTAACGGTCACTCTTAAAACGGCGTTAATCAATTTAGCTTGAATTCGGATGATGATAAAGGTTGAACCGCACTTAGTAATTAGAGATTTTCACGAAACCATTTCATTTCTTTTGAAACCTTTGAAGCTACTTGTTAGCAATTCAAAGATATTATGATTTACTTTGAAACGAAATAAAGCACCCGACAATTTTGTTATGGACAAATGCGTCACCGTTTTCACAAACTGACACTGTGGTATTAGTTCGTGAAAATCGTGTACAATTACGGTTTCACGAACCGACTGGCGGGTGCGCGCACAAATCGGAAAATGACGCAAAACAGAACGATTTGGTTTTTCACTATCTGAAACCCAAGAATGTGGCCGAAATACAATTCGTAGATAAAAAAAAGCTTTGAAGTGTTTGACACGAAATAAATCCGTCCGACTATTGTGGACTTACGCAAAAACAATACTAAGAACGGTTTTAATTTTTTTGGTGAAATTAATGTCGGTTTCAGTTCGTGAAAACGAAATTGAACGAGTGCGCGCAAGCAATGCTAGTGTGTCGTAAATTTAGGATTTTGTACTGTTAAATACGGACTCATTGGTAATATTGCGCATGTCTAAGTATGGTAATTAAGTGACCAGTCACGTGAGAGGGTTTAACCAATAATACGGTGAAGACTCACATTTTTACAGGAGTCTGCTTTTATGACACAGGGTGAAAGTTCGTGAAAACGAACATAATGCGGTTATGTATGCGAGCGTGCCGGCTCGTGTCGGTTCGTGGTGTCAGTGGCGTATTACAGAATGTAGGTGACACATTGTGAATTATTTGCGGCCCGACTATAGTTCTTGAAGGGTAGACTGGTTCTCGCCACCCAACATAATAGTAACATGGGCTTTTGTTTTGGATTTGTGAAGCCAATATGCCGACTGACATCCGACCCACATTATGATCCAAGTCTGAAGCAGACTGGGAAAATGGACAACACGTAATGCTAGGTCTCCATATTTCCCTGGGATATATTGCGCTCAACTTTCCAAATGATTGCATAATACAAGGTGCATCTCCGAAGAGGTCTATTTGACGGGTAGTTAGATAGATTTCAGTGAAGAGGGGCGATAAGTGAGTGATGTAGGTGTTCAAAGAAGACGAAGGCTCGCTTTGCAATTTCCACCCACTTTCTGCCACTGAACAGTATGCTCCACAAAAAGTGTCCGTCTGACTATTTTTTTTTTAATAACTGCAAAACCATGACGTCAGTTTTAAACACATTAAGTGCAAATATCCTTATTCCTTAATCCAAATAAGTTAATTAATTTCAGTCGCTCATCACTACACATGGTCAACTGATCACAACAACATTTTGCACACTGTGACACAGTTCACTGCCCTAACCAACTTCGGTGCTGTGTTATGTAAGCTGTTTAAAATCCGTCATTTGGTGAAAAACATCTTTGTCTATGAGTATTAACCCTTACGAGCAGCGAAGCGGTGATAGAATTCTCCACATTTTCCAAATATTGGCATATTTTTTTTCAATGGGCCAATTAGGCCAAGCTTCCATCTAATCCTCACCCCTACTATACACCACAAGCCTGTAGACTCCCATTGGCCAGACCCTAGCCACTCCGGAGTAAGGAGTGTTGGAAAATAGAAGCCAAGATGGCGGCTCTTGCCTTTGTGCAGTAGTTGGAGAAAATGGCGGCCAAACCCTTTGTGCCGCCGATCTCTTTGTGTCAACCCCTCGTGCCGCCCAGAGCTCAGACAGGTTGTAAACAGTCTCTTACGATGTGAATGACCTATATCTTGTGTATGTACAGGCATTTGACCTAGGTTATTGACCTAGAAACACATGTGGTGATAAAATTCTCCACGTTGTCACTCCGTGTGATTTTTTTTGCTAAGTTGCTCCCAAGGTTAAACTGAGATCTAGCCATGATAACTGAAAGCAGGCAAATGATTCCAATTCCAGCAGCAGCTCTTATTCACAACATGGGTTTTGGCGAAGGATAAGGAGTATCCAGTATTGACATCCAAAATTGACTTCATGGTTTAAGTTATCAAAAAAAATAGGTATAGACACTTATTTGGAGACATACCGAAGAGCGGCGGACTGACGTTCTAAATAAATTCCAACTGACCTGATTTCCAGAGACGCCTTAGTAAATTTCCCATCATTGGTTCTTGGACCTCACCCAGTAGTCATCATCTAGGAAATAGAAAACAGGACATCAGTTTACAGTCGACCAGTACAAGGGCACACCTGATGAGATTATCGATGGGTAGGTGTTTCTGTTTAATTCCATGGCCATTTAATAACCACTCGTCAATGTGGTTTATTCAGTAACATCTAGTTTGTGTCGCATGGACCGCGTATGATGTAAACGTCCTCAGTGAGAGTTAACCGTGTCCACGTTTATGAAGCAGGTATCGGTGCTGAAATTTGCCAACTGTTGTATACATGTGTATTGTCCATCCATATTGAGTTATATAGAGTGAACGAGGAATTGTAGATTCGTGCAAATCTTACACGAATTTACAGTCAATTCTCTGACTTAACTATTTTATTTCAAAACAACAACGGTTTATACAAATGAGTCCCATATGCATCAACCCACTCTCCGTATTATCGTCCATTTTGATGCATTTGTTTAACAAACTCTTCAATGGCGATAACAAAAGCTTACCTAATTACAGGGGTGCATACAAAGGCCTATGTTTCCCAAATACAGAGTTCCTCAACCCTAACCCTCACCTAACCCTAACCCTTACCCAACCCTAACCCTAAGAATGTTAGGGAAAATAGGTATTGGAGGACATAAGTATTAGGGAACGTCGGGTAGAGCTCAATTACAGTATGGTAACATTATCGCTTTTCAACTTGTTTCTTATTTTACCTTATTTTCACAGTACAGTAATCGTGAATTTACAAGCATCCAGAAACCATGGTTTATGTGGTTCGTTACGAATCCACAGTAGTAAAACAATCTACAATAGCGTGACGTCACAAAATAGTTCAATCGGTAATAATCCGAACCCGCCCATCTTATATACACCCAACTCTTAAACGTGTCCGGTCAGATTCGGCCAAGGATCCAGATCAGTTTTAAACTTAGACCGTTCTTGGTCCAAACGACCGAGTCGTGTTTCCCTTGAAACCAACATTTGAAATGTTGACGCAAAAGCGAGTAAGGTCAATTCTGAACTAGAATGGCCAATTCTGACGAAAGACTTTCAAGAGTGCTTGTCTCATACAAATCATTGTAATACAAGTGCATTGTATAGTTTGCATGGGGGAGTGTCGATATAGTTTCGGTATGCAGTAATACCATGAGGTAGTAGACTTAATTAGTTCTGATAACAACAATTATTCATAGTTCTAAACAGAGCTTGTACTGCTAAGTGCTGTAACCACAAGTAGGTTAACATGAAGTAGGTATCGGATCGATCCTACTGATGTCAATGAGTTGGATCAATGCTAAGTTTGTCTGCTAGTTGACATTCAGCTACCTCAGTGAAGATAATTGGGAGAAGTCCAATCGCCTTCCAACGTACTTAGCGAAAGTAGACAACAAGCAAGACAAGATCTTTTAAAACCTAAGCAGGACTGTTCTTATCAGAAATAAATTTACTAAGCGATATAGTTATTACCACAAACCGAAACTATAACGAAAATGCAGTTTTGAAATAGAAACCAAATGTGCAATCCAGAGGCATACGACTTTATGTCGTTACAGTGACAGTCAGATTCATAGATGACATGACTTGTGTGTCTGTTATAAAGAGCGGGCTTATGATGCACGAATAAGGTAGATTAAAATGTATACATTTGTTGTGAGCGAAATTGTTTCCAGTAGTACAAAGTTTCCTAAAAATGTATACAAAAGGACACTCACCACAATTTATGGAGGAGCCCAGTGAATTGTCCAGGTCAAAAGCGAGGGAAGGTCCAAAGATTGCGAGGACATACCCCGGCTTAAACTTGAGCGTCGCTGCTAAAAACAAAAAGACAACCAGCACTAGTTAGACCCGTCCGGTCCCGGCCGGTGTAGCGTGAATATCTGATTCTATGAATATGGACTCGTTTGTAGTATTGCTCATGCGTAAGCATGATAATTAGGAGAGTGACTGGTCACGTGCAAGGGATATTAACCAATAAAAGGTGAATTAGTCCGATTTTCATTGAGTCGGATTTTCTTATGACACTGGCCGCACCCGAACGATGTGGACACACCACCAAGCGTTTCTAAATTATTATTGCACCCTCCACGAAATGGGGTTATGAAATCAATTGTACTGTCTGTGACATAAAAGAAACTCTCACTTACACATAATTATAGTCCTTATATACAATTATGAAAAGAACATAAAGAACAAATAAACCCTCCAAAACGATGGACCTAGTTCTTTCTACAGTGTAGGGATTTAGAGACAACTAGTTCGATATAGTTGCATACATGAGTTGATGTTACAAGCAAATTATAGAACAAACTTAATTTAACTCTGTATCCGTGGGTTGGACAGTGGGTGAATGTTGCATGTCTCCATAGTAAATTGGAACAGTTGCTCTTGGTGCATTTTCTTTCCGTTTGAAGAAACCGAATTTTTCAAAAACGTTTTGTAGGAAATGTGTGGAATGAAATGGAATGGAATGGAACGGAATAGAATGGAACGGAATGAAATGGAATGGAACGGAATGAAATGGAACGGAATGGAATGGTTTGGAATGAAATGGGATGGGATGGGATGGGATGGGATGGGATGGGATGGGATGGATGGGATGGGATGGGATGGGATGGGATGGGATGGGATGGGATGGGATGGGATGGGATGGGATGGGATGGGATGGGGCATGGGGATGGGGAGGGTCGGGTCGGGTCGGGGAGGGGGGATGGGGAGAACGGATGGGGAATGTGGATGGGGATGGGGATGGGATGATAATCATGTTTGGGAGAATGTTAAAGTGTGGGAAGATATCTCAGCCAGCTTTGAAATGGAATGGAATGGGATAGAATGGAACGGAACGGAACGGAACAGAACGGAACGGAACGGAATGAAATGAAATGGAATGGAATGAAATGAAATGAAATTGAATGGAATGGAATGGAATGGAATGGAATGGAACGGAATGAAATGGAATGGAATGGAATGGAATAGAATAAAATGGAATGGAATGGAATGGAATGGAATAGAATAAAATGGAATGGAATGGAATGGAATGGAATGGAATGGAACGGAATGAAATGGAATGGAATGGAATGGAATTGAATGGAATGGAATGGAATAGAATAAAATGGAATGGAATGGAATGGAATGGAATGGAATGGAATTGGGGATGGGGATGGGGAGGGGAGGGTCGGATCGGGGAGGGGGATGGGGAGAAGGGATGGGGAATGTGGATGGGGATGGGGATGGAATGATAATCATGTTTGCGAGAATGTTAAAGTGTGGGAAGATATCTCAGCCAGCTTTGATGTTTTCCTTTTTATATCTCCCAGCATACCGGGGAAAAGTTCCTAGTCCTACATGGGTCCTAGCTCTATGGTCCTACTTCATTTAACAAGAGACATTATGATCTGAGCTTGCATTGCATTGTTGCTCTATGTGCTGAATACAGCCTCAAAGTTCCCCCCTGGTGGCGCGCATCCAGAACTCTGAATAGGACACTGAATTCACGTCCAATAATTCTAGAATGTGCAATTATTTTTGGTATATTGATTTCTTAAGAAAATCACCCCCAGAAAAAAAAGGCCTTGGTAAAATTTACAGAAAATGAGAAACGACGTACATACTTTCGCCCGACGTGAAAGAGAAATATCGTGTCAAAAAATGACCTCTCACTTCCGAAAATATAAAATTCATGTGGACTTGTGCAACGCGGCGTACTCGTAAATAGATGAAGACTTATGAAATAATTTGGGGAGGTCAAAAGGTAAAAAGTGAAAGTTAAACAGAAGGACAATATTAATGTTAGGGTTTACATATTTTTGGAATAAATGTAGAATTATTAGCTTTTATGAAAAAAAATCGAAGTGATAGCTGATAAGGACTGCATTCAAGCTAGCCCGACTAAATCTAGAACCCATCAGCGGTAGGTAGATACATATCTGCTTTGTTGTACTGGATAAGGATCACTTTCGTTGTTGTATAGCCAGTATGAATCAACATGCAATACTTGCCCGAGTCTGACAGGCTAGGAAAGCAACACGTAAGGGTGTGCCTACGTGTGTTCACGGTGGCCATTAAGTTAGCGCGCATGCGCATGAAAGGTAAACCCAGTTACACATAGCAAAACAAAAGTGATCTAAGGTTTCGCGCCCTTTCTGTAAAACTATTTATTTTGCTGTATAAGTTACATGAAAAGTTAAGAGAGTATTGTTGTGAGTTCAGAGCACATTTTATATTGATGAGCACATTCAGGTTTAATAGTAGCGTTTGTTTTCTAATCGATTCATTTTCAAGCCGATCGACTTGAAAATGTTGTATAATAATTTTACGACACTCTTTTTTCAATGACTTGTTAACGTTTCGTTTGAGGCGAGAATCATTTTTGTTTTCAAGTTGTGGTCAATTTCTTGATTTATTACGAGCATATATGGATGACGGATAGTGCCACTCAATACATCAGAATATTTTTTTTGTACGTGTGAACATATTTTTTTTGTACAGCGGCCGCCACTTATTATGTGGCGGCCGCCACTATTCAGACTTATTAAGTGGCACTAACTGTCTTCCGTACGAGTATACAAACATATAGCAAAATTAAAAGTAAATCATATACAGTAATTTCAGGTTAAAAATAGCAAGTTCCATGAAGCACTGGAAAAGCTATTAGTTTGGTAACCGGCCAGTTGTTTAACTTTCGGCTTGTGAACTTTCTTGTATCGATGGTACCACATGGTACCGAGACTGAAACACGGATGTGTGTACAACAAATGATGTTGAAAAAAAAAATCAACATGCCACGGATGTCACAGAGGTCAAGGGACATGATCCCGGATCCAGGAATGCGCACTTTCACTCTCGACACAGTGCCTGCAGTATACATGTACTCGCCTGCTTCTGGCCTTATCTTTGATTTTGGCTGATTTCCAAACATATGTAACATGTTTTCAAACATCAACACAAACACCGTCTGCATGCACCCAAGTTTGCATTATTTTACTTTCAATCGTGGACTCCCTATTTATTTATACTATTTTATTGAGCCGGACAGGAAAACGCATTCAAAGCCAATGTGAGCTGTTGCCAAAATAAAAGAAAATAATAATTGAGTGTAAACAGAAGATCGATGATGAGAAACAATGGGACATTAACACCATGAACAAAAGGCGTGTGGCAAAGTCTGTTTCTGCATTCAACAGGGAACGTTAAACAATAGAGGACAATAGGCTCCCCAGTTCGCGAGGGTCCCCAATTTACGATCGTGTACAAAACATGCGGGAATTATTAAAAAGTGAAAGTACACACAAAAGAGGGACAATAGGGGGCCAACGATTGCAGGCAAACACACACTTGTGTGCGTGTGTAACTATAGCAGAAAAGTGTGCTGGAATTTACTACCTTACGGAGACATGCACACAATAGGGAACAAAAGATTGGATACGTCTCCACAAGAACATTTCTATAGATGAATACGTCTCCACAAGAATTTCACGAAATAGATATATGGATTTTACTCAAAAACTAGGAATTTCCAAGGTAGGTTGATCCGTCGCAAATTGAAGATTTTTAGAAAAGTGATATTTAGTCCAAATTTCAGCCCAGGAAATTAATTCTGGTTAAAATAAGAGCAATTTGAAACTTCAATTTCAAACTCGAAAACTTTACTACACGAGGACAAAGAAATGTCACCACAAGAATACAAATTCCAGAATGTGTGTGCTAACAATAATTAAGCACTTTTTTTCATGGCATAGATGCGGTAGTGTGTGCACTCATGCAGATTGCTATTGTTACGTCACAATTATTTAAGAACATTTTCCTCTGAGGTTAAGTTTGCTTTTGCTGTGCTTATCTGCTAACAGTCTGTATGCAATCGGGCCCTGAAGGTTGAAGATGCCATTAGGCAAATGTACTTGGGAGGAAAGAGAACAGTCTTTCTTTGTTGCAAAATTAGGGGGTGGGTGGGTGGGTCAAAATAATTTGGAAAAAAAGTCGAAATTTTAAAACACTGAAAATTCTGAATGGTCCCTTAGTACCTGCATTCACACTCATATGCTGTTGTAGTCCTTTGTCCTGCCTGTCCCATTGTCTGTCCCTAGGTTAGGGTTCAAAAGCATTCTTGCTTCGCCCAAACCGTGTTGTCCTTTGTGTAATACTTGATATTAAATGTGTACTATTTGATATTAAACCTAACCTGCAATACTGAAAATCAACTTATTGTAAACATTGTGCATTTCCTCTCCAAAGGACAGCATTGAAATAAAATGGACCATTCATGCATTTCGCCTCACCCACCTGTATCTATAAACGCACAAACAATAATCGCGGCCACTATATGCGCTTTGTATACGTACATGCACAGTACAACGTGTGTACAAGATTTTTGCACGACTGTATGATAACAACGCTGAGCTTAAACAAGTTGTGGGCGAAAGTGTCTCTAGTAGTACAAACGTTTCCTACAAAATTATACAAAAGGACACTCACCCCAGTGTCTAGAGGAGCCCACTGACTTGTCCAGGTTAAAAGCAAGGGAAGGTCCAAAAATGCGAGGAAATACACCGGCTTAAACAAGAGCGTCGCCTCTTAAAGCAAAAAGACAACCAGCACTAGTTTGTCCCGTCCGGTCCCGGCCGGTGTAGCGTGAATCTGACTCTATGAATATAGACTCGTTTGTAGTATTGCGCATGCGTAAGCATGATAATTAGGAGAGTGACTGGTAACATGCGAGGGATTAACCAATAATAGGGCAAATGAGTCAGATTTTCATGGAGTCAGAATATCTAACGACACCGGCCACGCCCACACGATGTGGACACACCACCAAGCGTCTCTAAATAATTAAACTCTCAGTTTGGAAAAAAAAAGTGTCCCATTACCTTTTTCTGTAAGCAGATGCCTAGCTGTACTATTTTGTAACAGGAAAAAAAAAACTACTTTCATTGACCCAAAAATCGGGACGCCATATAAAGTGGGGACCGTCTTCTACATAGGAAAGTGCACATGTAAACAAAAAGAAGGCGCCCACTGAATGGTCAGTTTCTCGAGGTCAAGATGCAGTCTAATTGCATAATTAATCGCCATGTCTGCTCGCATATCATAGACCCTTGCTGCGCAAGTGAATGTTCCGTATACTAATAGTAGGTGTCCCCTCCCCATTAAAAAAAAAGTTGGGACGGATGCCGCTGATATGTATCTGCAATCAGATTGATGCTTGAGGGAAATTTACCCGAATATCCAAATTTGGTTGTGGTCCCGTTTTAGGCTAACAATTTTAGCCCTTTTCAAAATGCTGCTTATTTTGTTTAAAATGAAGAAAAAAAAGAGCGTGGGGGGTGTTTGCAATTTACCATTACTGCACCATTTCGTTTAATGTAAACTGACACTATAGTGTTGAGTCAAAGAAAGCATATCATAGTTGGTTTTTTTTCCTGCCTACGGATTTCCCTGTACGTCTACATGTACATATTTCCTGCTTCACGCTGGTAGAAATGGCCCAGGCATCCGCAATCGGGAAAAAGGGCAATGGGACACTTTTTTTCCAAATAAAAGGAGAGTTTTGCAAGTTATCAGTTCGAAAAACCCTATGCAATCAGTGCAGTGTTGGCTGGGATGTTTTACGAACAACACCCCCCCCCCCCCGATGCTCTTAGAAAACCCTATGCAATCAGTGCAGTGTTGACTGGGATGTTTAACGAACAACAACCCCCCCCCCCATGCTCTTAGAAAACCCTATGCAATCAGTGCAGTGTTGGCTAGGATGTTTAACGAACAACAACCCCCCCCCCCCCGATGCTCTTAGCAAACCCTATGCAATCAGTGCACTGTTGGCTGGGATGTTTTACGAACAACAAACCCCCCCCCCCCCCCATGCTCTAAGAAAACCCTATACAATCAGTGCAGTGTTGGTTTGGATGTTTAACACCCCCCCCCCCCTCCCGATGCTCTTAGAAAACCCTATGCAATCAGTCCAGTGTTGACTGGGATGTTTAACGAACACCCCCCCCCCCCCTCCATGCTCTAAGAAAACCCTATGCAACAGCAGTGCAGTGTTGGCTGGGATGTTTTACGAACAACAACAACCCCCCATGCTCTAAGAAAACCATGTGCAATCAGTGCAGTGTGAGTGTGATATTCTGCGAACACCCCCATGCTCTTACAGAACCCAATGTAGTTAGTGTAGTGTGCTTCAGGATGCTCTAACAGACCCCTCTCCTGAATGGTCAAACAAACCCACTGGGATGCTGCAAGAGAACCCCTATGCAATTAGTAAAGTATGGGATGCAATGTTCTAAGAACCCCCCCCCCCCCCCGCATGCTCCAAGAGAAACCTACTCAATCAGTGTAGTTTGGGTCGAGATGCTCTAAACCACCCCTAAGTCAATAGCTCGTTTCTTGCAGTTAATTCATACGGCTGCGACATGACTTTACAAGTTAACCTGCATTCAATAAAATGTGTAAGATTTGACCTGGGTCCGAGTTGACCTGTTCCCTGCATTCGCTGTCAGAATGTCACGGGAAGGTACGGGTAGTGGCGTAATAATGCACGGCGCCTGTTGCACCGACAATAAACGTCAGCGGATACGCGGATATAACTGTCTTGAACTGTCCAATTCGCAATACATTGGAAATAATATCATCATTTTGAACAAGTGTTCATCATGTAGCGGCATATTTCATTTGTTTGAAAATTGGAATAAAACTGGAGAAATGGTTGAAAAATGGGATTGAAATACCTGGACATTTATTTTCGAGTGAACATACGTGGTACTTACGGTAATTTGCGGGCTGCATGAATATGTATGCGGCGGGTCAAAGTTAACGGGCTTTGATTGGATATCGTGTAAAATATGCGCATCAGAAATTCTCGGCCGAGTTTAGCCGAAAACATAATAAAGAAACATATAATAAATTCGCCACGGTTGCGTCAAGGCTATGCTCCGCCTCGACTTACTGTACGGCTGTTTGCGAAAGTGTGTGTGTGGGGTGTACATGTTGTGTTCGTACATGCACACAAAGCACACGCAAGGGTCGTTGAGGCTAACGGTATACTAGTAAAACCAGTGTGTCGCGCGGCGCGGGCAGTGTGCGGTAGCACTAGCGAGAACAAGCTCGTATGGGAACAAGCTACTTGTAAGCGGATGCCCAGCTGTTCTAGCGTGTAACAGGAAATACGTACAGAGAAATCCGTAGGCAGGAAAAAACAAACTACTTTCATTGACCCAACCTTTGGAGTGTCAGATTACATTCAACGAAATGATGCAGTCAAGTTCAAATACATACGCAAACTCTCCTCATTAAAAAAAAAGACAAAATGATAGTCTTTGAAGGAACTTCATTAATGTTTATCTTTTTTTGTGTACACATATGAAGCATGTCCAAATGGATTTTGTTTTCGAAAGGGGATCACGACCATACTATTATCTGAAAACTTGCAAATTGGCCTTCGAGAAATCTTCAGATTAATAGACCTGAGACGAAATGACGTAATGGCTTTGTTTACATATGCGCTTTCCCATGGGATCGGAGCGAAATCGGGACCCCATATAAAGTGGGGACCGTCTTCTACATAGGAAAGCGCACATGTGAACAAAAAGAAGGCACCCACTGAATGGTCAGTTTCTCGAGGTCAAGATGCAGTCTAATTGCATAATTAATCGCCATATCTGCTCGCATATCATAGACCCATGCTGCGCAAGTGGATGTTCCATATAGTAGGTGACCCCTCACCATCAAAAAAAAAAAAAAATTTGGGACGGATGCCGCTGATATGTATCTGCAATCAGATTGATGCTTGAGGGAATTTGGTCGTGGTCCCGTTTTATGCGAACAATTTAAGCCCTTTTCAAAATGCTGCTTATTTTGTTTAAAATGAATAAAAAAAGAGCGGGGGGGGGGGCTGGGTTTGCAATTTACCATTACTGCACCATTTCGTTTAATGTAAACTGACGCTATAGTGTTGAGTCAAATAAAGCAGATCATAGTTGTTTTTTCCTGCCTACGGATTTCCGTGTACGTCTACATGTACATATTTCCTGTTTCACGCTAGTAGAAATGGCCCAGGCATCCGCAAACGAGAAAAAGGGCAATGGGGCATTTTTTTTTCCAAATAACTGGAGAGTTTTGCAAGTTATCAGTTCGAAAAACCCTATGCAGTCAGTGCAGTGTTGACTGGGATGTTTTGCGAACACACCCACCCCCCCTCCCGATGCTCTTAGAAAACCCTATGCAATCAGTGCAGTGTTGGCTGGGATGTTTAACGAACTCCCCCCCCCCCCTCCCGATGCTCTTTAAAAAAACATGCAATCAGTGTAGTGTTGACTGGGATGTTTAACGAACGTGCACCCCCCCCCCCGCGATGCTCTAAGAAAACCCTATGCAATCAGTGCAGTGTTGACTGGGATGTTTAACGAACACCCCCCCCCCCCCCCGATGCTCTAAGAAAACCCTATGCAATCAATGCAATTTTGGCTGGGATGTTTAACGAACACCCCCCATGCTCTAGAACCCAATGTAGTTAGTCTAGTGTGCTTCCGGATGCTCTAACAGACCCCCCCCCCCCCCCTTGGATCGTCGAACAAACCCCACTGGGATGATGCAAGAGAACCCCTATACAATTACTTAAGTATTGGATGCAATGTTTTAAGAACCCCTCCCCCATGCTCCAAGAGAAACCTATGCAATCAGTGTAGTTTGGGCCGAGATGCTCAGGGATGCTCAAAGAGAACCTCGAATACTTTAGTGAAAACAGGCAATTATTAAATTACTTTTTCGTCTTACGATTTTCGGACAAAAATAATTAGTGGAATGCAAATGATTCTAAAAGTATTCTCGAATTGCTTCAGAATGCAGGAGAAAGCATTATTTTCTCTGGGTCACCCCACCAAGAACAAGGTGTGCATTCAGAACGCCTTCACTCCACTCCCACAACTTCATAAATCAACCCCTCCCGTTTACCGAAAGCTACATCCGCCCTTTTATGGAATCCTACCCGGTTCATTAATGGTATTTAAAGGGTATTCATCAATGCGCAACACCGGTTAATAATCAGAAGTGGACAGTGAATTTGTGTATTTTAAAGGTGGATATCACTATTGGTAATGATTATGTTCTGAAGCGAGCCACATATTGTTTTTATCTTAAAATATTGTTTTTAAACTCGTTCACTTTTTTTCACTCACTGTTTTCTATATTCATGATTGGATTTGATCATTTTTTCTTCTTATCGTGTCCACACAGGCTAAACACGGTTCAGCCAAAGCTGAATGCATTGCTTAGCACTATCATTGTATATTGCCAAGTCTTCAGCTGTGGTTCATTTTAGAAAAAAACAAACCTTAATGGTTTAAACAAATCATAGTACTGTTTATCAGCATTATTCTGACACAGTTGTTGCAAAGAAACAGCAAACAATCTGTTTTAAGCTCGGTTGTCGTGTCCAGGCACGTGTGAAGAAGGAAGCAGGACAGTCCAACTCGTCAACATATATCCGTATCTATTTCTCGAAATCTGTTAACCAAAGAATGCTAAGAAAAGGTCTGATATTATTGGTAAGAACTCTGAGTTAGAAAAAAAAAAACAAGTCCCATTACCGTTGTCTCGTAAGCAGATAGCTGTAGCTGCCTTGCATTAACACAACACTCGTCGGCCAAGTTCTAGTGCTGAATATCCCATTCATGCATCAATGAAGAAAACTAAAACGACCGACTCTGAGACTTTCCAAAGCGAAATGTTAACAATGGAATAACAGCAGCCACTATTAACAGGAACTATTTTTCTGTCGTTCAACTTCCTCAATCGTTGCTTATTGCCATCACAAAGTCAGTTAGCCTACACGTTAATTTGTTTTGTTTTGTCATATAAATATAGTGTTGGGGGAACCCATAGCCTACAACAATATAACACATAAGACAAAAGAAACCTTCCAGATGCAGAAAGTACAAATAGAACTGCAATGTAGGCCCTACTTTGTATTTTGGGTACATTTCAGTAATTCCCTTTCAATGCATACAAACGAAGCAACTGTGATAGGCCTACATTGATTCGGAGCTTTGGAAAATTATCGCCCTGAAAATCAACATACATCCGTTATACTAGTGCGCATTAGTTTCGGTTAGAACAGCACCCCCATCGACAGATGGTACCACCCCGCCCCCCCCCCCCCCCCCAATTTGGTTTTATGGAGGCCAAGTGTACTGAGAAAAAAATGTGTCTGTATACACATTTCAGCCTGGATGCCTATGTGCAAGTGCCCTTTTCAAGACATTGTTATCCCCCCTAATATACATGTAAATGCCCTTGCTATGCTACTGTTGTCTCTTTCAGGGGTTAAACTTTCAAGGCAGCACCTCAAGCTAAGCATCTTTCCGAATTCTTTCCATATGCTATTGTGCCTGAATGTTTCCAATTTGAAATATTAGGTCTTTATTCATCATTACTACAACATGACTAGTCAGGTTATAATCCGCAGAATAGCCAGAAAAGGCCATTTTGGGGTTAATTTTGAATTTCAAGGGGTGGGGGGTTATTTAAGAGATACAACGTTTAGTTTTGGGGTCAAAAAGTCTTGTATCGATGGTGTTAGCCATTTCCCAGATAGACGTCTTCAAATTTTGACATTGGATTTTACCACCCCCTGCTAACCTATGCAAATCATTTTGGATCCAGAAGAACGCCTTGGTCCAATCGTCCATGTGAGGGTTTGGGGGTGGTGCTCATTATATGCTGCTGAATTGCCTAAGCTGACCTTAAAAGTCGTTGTCTTATCGGTCGATCGTTGCGTGGAAACTTGCATAGCGGCGAAAGTTAAAACGTGTGACATGTGCTGTGCATAATACATACACACACGATGTGTGTCTCACATTATTCTTACCCACACAACATCAATGCACAAAAAAATGTGGTTTCTGACACGTCCGCAAAAGGCGAATAGCTGCAAAAAAATTGATGACGTCGGGATTTACCAAGGTGTGATTGGACACGTACTCGCACAAACTAAAGTAAAACATAACCATTGATCGAATCGGACATTATTACCAGTATACACATGTAATTGTTGTAGGTGTTAGAGCGGAGGGGGGGGGGGTGCATTATTTTGAATGAATTTCTATGAATTTCTATTTCTTATTAAACGTACTTGTTTGTATTCCCATTCACAAATATCTTTGAGTCAAAAAGTCGAACTAGTCGAGATGATAAATTGCCAACTATTTTTTTCAACAAAGTTTAGTTCATGTTCTTTAAACACCCCTCTAGCTATAGTTTGGTATGTGCCGCTCGCAGGAGTAGTAAACAATCTCCTTATACGGAGATTGGCGCGCGCGTGTCGCGTACTTCGTGATATGGCGCAGAACGCGAAGTGCCGGTGTGTGCTGATTGGATACGCAATGAAGTTGGATGATCTTGATGCGCACACAACGTCGTAAATTCAAACACGGGTCTACTGCGATTGATTCCCGCCTGTCAGAAACACGTCGTAGAAGTTGAAATGTTCCTATATGGCTCGAGACTGTTCCGGTCGTCCTAATAATTATCGTCGCACTTGCACTCAGCCGGTCGATACAAAATCGGCGACTAAAATGTTCCCGACTGTCCTTCGACAGTCAGGCGCAGCTTGATCCTGAAAAGTCAGGCACCGACCACCGAGTGATCTGTGTCGTCGCAAGGTACGGTCGATCTGAGGGCCACTTGCAGGCGTCATCGGCGATGCGTTCGAATGGCGATGGTCTCCCGCATCGTTCTCCTAGTTCCGGATTTTTCCTAGTTCCGGATCGCTTCAAATAAAAAACCTACTACCTGTACCTCTTTTGGATTAGTCTCCAATAATTTTTATTTTTCTGACGAAGTGCATTTTGAAAAGGAAAATGTGTAAGCTTCTTGACGTACAAAGATCTTTTCGATAATCTTATTGTGTAGGTAAACTTTTTAGCCAATGTCACTTGAATTCGTGGAGTAGTTGAGCCAAAAGCAGCCTGAATGATGCTTGCTATCCGGAACTAGGAAAACGACTGTACTTTCTTGCCGGGGAGTACTTGTGCGCGGAGCCCATAGCAAGGTTTTACTACTATTATTAGTCTGAATCGGCGAGTATACTCCTTGACATTTTTAATTAAACCAAGTTCCGGAACTTAGGCCATCCTTGGGAACGTTCGGCCAAGCCTTGGAATTGTGGTGACTGAATCATAGAGTAATAGTTGTCGGTTTTTGTTTTAAACATAACTCTATATTGATTGAAATGCACACGGAAGTATGGACTGCGCCTGCGCATAATGTGATTGCACTAACTAGGGAATTTTTCTACGGTCATCTTGGGATTTTTTTAATTTCATAAAATCACTTCAAAAGGTTGGAGTAACAATTCAGTAACTGATAAAACAAACGGTCTTTCAAAACTATTATAATGTAAAACACTGGACACAATAAATTCCTTCTCTATCTTCTTTTTTTATTGACGACTGAACAGCTTGATATATGAATACATCACATATAAATACATAATCATAAAACTTACTGTGCAGACTAATCAACAGAACATGTACATATGCAAATTGTACATTCACTGAATAACTGTAACACAATTTCTTATCGCAATTTCAGTTTGATAATTATATTCTACAACAGTTTCTATCATTGCTATAACAGTACACTTATCCGAACATTTCAGAAAATACGATCAGTTTACATACATGTAGTAATTTTGCCCTAACTATGGCAGTCGCCCCAACTATATAGGGCCCAGTTGGGACAATTCCAACATTATTGGAATTAGTTGGGGCAATCCTTACTTTAGTTGGGATCATCCCAACTATAGTTGGGACAATGCTATAGTTGGGGCGAAATACACACACCAACTCTATCAATATATGTAGCATTTCATGCTCTTAACGTGATTTCAGTACTTATCCAAAGTTTTGTAATATTCATAATAAGCCAACAAATAGTACTGATTTATTAAAGTAACTAAACCTTGTTTAAAATACATGTTTAAACAAATTTGTAATGTTTAAACAAAAATACATTGTACAAGTGTACATACAAGTACATGTGTAAACTGAACGTGTACTTAAGTTAAATCCAATTTAGACAATCAAGCTGTTAAAAACTATCCAACTTTTTTGGAAACTTTTTGAAATGAGTTGTACATCATCATCTAAATATAACATAATTTGAATGCTTCTAATTTATACATGAAAAAATATATGTTTCATTCGTGGGCAATATAATTTTGAAAATGTATACCCCGTACATAAATATAAAGATACCCATTCATATTTTATTGTTGGTATCGATGGTACATGTATGTGAGTTTTTGAATAATAAAACAAATTAAAGGATTCCCTTCAGAAAAAAAATATAACATTGTGAACACTTTTATTATACATTACCACAAATACGTTTGATGTCTTGAAAAGAAAAAAAAGATACAATTCTATAAACTTGAGTAAAACAAAAAGGGCCACACCACATAAATGTATTTACGAGTTACGACTATTCTTAATCCATAGGCTTTTAATTTTTTTTTAGGAAGCTCTTAAATCCACGGAAATGCATCTCATAAAAGAAACTGAACTTTCTAAATACATTTTTTTCTCAAAATACAAAACATGTTAATGAATTTTGATGAATTCTGGTAAGTTAAGATACTACAAACTAGCCATTAAAAAAGGAACAAATAATAAATGAATACACACTGACTTTTACACAGCTTACAAATATATGTACATGTATGTTTGCAACATTTACAAAAAAACAACAACACATTTTCTTCTTATTTTCAATGCAAAACCTGTGCATGTATTTTCTTGAGTTGCAATAAAAACTAGCCCATATAAAAACACGGGGGAATGTAAACACTGACATTTTGCATAGCGAACACATGTTTGCGACACCTATTAATATTTTATTAAAAAATCCAAAAACAAAAACAAAAACAAAAAACCCGGTAAATTCTGGTGAGCTTAGATGAAACTGGCCTTTTCTTTTCATGATAAAAATACACAGACTGACAATAATTGCATAGCGCATGAAAAATTATATAAACAAAATCATTAACTTCCAAAAACGATTGCATCAGCACATCAAGCATAGTATTAGAAGGTGTGACATTGCATTTTAAATTTTACATGTAGATTTGTAATGCAAATCTTAATTTAAAGTGTAGGGGGCCTACTGAGTTTAACCGTTTTATTGAGTCTTATAGGGTGCATTCGAGTAGCGTCCCCGTGTATACAAGGGGATCATTCTCGTGGAAGTCATAATTAAGGTCAAAGGCTGTTAATTGGCAGGAATTTAAAATGTACACACATCAGGCATACCTGTCGTATGCTTCACTGGTAAAATTAGTTTTATCATTGCAGCCAGATCGATAATTGCTGGAAATGGAGGATATGCTCTGAATCATAAACACAAAGGTGTCCATCCAATTGAACACCGTCAATAATTGGGAATTTTGTGTCATCAATCTCTCCATTATATGCAGTTAGTAATCAAATTTTGGCCATCTTCAATCTAATTAGCCACGGACCCATCTGGTTACATTGTTACATCCGGGCAGCTACCACAGACCCGCGATCGCAAGCTGGGACATTGATGGTTGACACCGCGGGGCAGACACAGGGATCACATGACGGCTAATAGCACGCTCTCATGTAAGTTACTTGTAAGCTACTCAAACGCACCCATGGAATCTTTAACACTTCACCCACATGTTTGACCTTTGACCTGTAATCATCTTTTACTAATTCTCCCATTTTGTAGTCAGTTAACACCTGGGGCCCATTTCATGAACTGCCAAGAACATTATTATCTCTGTGTAAAGTTTAATCGCCTTGAGTTCATGTACATTGTACTTTTGATTATCCCGTATAATTCATGAGCAAAATCATACAGTCAGTGCCTTATTTGTAAAGAGAAAAAGGAGAAGAGATGCGAAGAAACTAAGTTTAGAACATCGCTATTTGACAGACACAAGTGTCCGGTTTTCATGCTCATCATGACGCATACTTTTGCCTTATAACAACGATCGAGTCCTCTGACACTATCAGAGAAGCCCTCGAACTGTACAAGTCTCTGTTAACTGAAGAGGCATTTGATGGGAGAGGGACAAAGTGTCCACGGGTGTGGATGGATGACAGTGATGCCAAACGGATTGCCTTAGAGGCTGCTTTTTTCCATAATCGCAATTGCTTGTGTGTGCTTTTCACATCTTGCAACAGAGAAGACAGGCAACAGTTGTTTTCATTTTTGAAAGCAATGTCATTTGCTTCTACCATAACAGATTTGGAAAATAATGGCATGATGAAGCCATGAAGGATGAAAAAGTGGCAACGTATCCCAATTTCTGTAAACTTCTGGAAGACATATACATGTCAATGTAAAGGCGACAAGTTTTCGCCATTTGCTTGAGATCACATCTACCCATCAGGGGTTACAACACAAATGACTGCGAGGCAGCAATTGCAAGTGCTGACGGATAAGGTTTTCGCAAGGACAAAAGCCTTCAATGTTCTTCAACTTATCAATTTCATTGTAACAAGACAGAATGGATATTATCACCGTAAAGTAGTGGACATTGCAAACAATGGTCTCGATGTTGTTAAAATGTCCAGATTTATGCCATGGGACGTTAAAATACCACATGACTCTGTACAACATTTGTCAATGTGAAACATTGTTTACCCCTATCATTATCGTAAACAAACATTCGACAAAAAGCCTGAAAGGCACCCCATCTGAATGTTGTAACACTGGTGCCCTAGCACTGTATGTAAAGAAGTATGTAAAGAAAGACCACAAATAGTACAAATTCTCATGACTGATGGAACCAACTTGACAATGGAGGTTCACCGGCATACTGCTACATGGACAGGTCCATGAAAAACATTTTATATTGGGTTGGAGCAAATAGAAACCTGTCACTGAATTGCTTGATTTGAGAATGACAATATCATGGGGCTTTGCTCTAACAAAAAAGAGCCTCAAAGCATCAACGCAAGAAATGAGAAGACAATATTCTGAGCTTGATGCAACCGATCAGTGAGCTTTTACGTATTATTAGGAGAGGATCTAGTGTACATGTAGATAGGTCCGTGACAAGACTTCAGGGACAACCTGCAGTGATGGCCCACTTGGATAAACTCTTGGAGGAGACATCCAACAGAGAAGAAAACTTATAAAGGACCCTGACAACATGGCCATATCAAAACTCGTAGAGAAGCTATGAACATATGTAACCGGTGAAATATTTCAAGCATATTTCAATCATATCTTTTGGGCACCTTTGCTTTTCCTACATGTCCTATTTCTACTGAAAGTCTTTTTAATATGTTAGGCCTATATCCCAAAAGTCGGTACGTAGGATTGCTTTTACTCAAGTTTCGGATTGTTTTCATGTTCACACATTTTCTTAGTATTGAAATTATTGTTATCTTCATTGTTTATACATGTCATTTTTTTTCATTTAAATACCACTGTGAGAAAATCTGTCCTTTGGCCCTGATTGGGTCAGCCACGCATTCCAAGTTTCTGGAAAAGTAATCAACTCCAGGCAGGAGGCCTGACTACATGTACCTCATTATTATTCATTAGATAGACTCTAGCTTTTCGACACTAGTTACTTTGTTTTATCACCCCATATTAGCTTTGTTTATTCATAATCCCTGTGTGGTTTGCCCAGGAATGTGAGGCACTGGCCAACATCCTGTGGTTAAGATTAGCTTTGTTCAGTCTTGTGTTAGCCACCGACAAGAGAACACACATGCAGTAAAAGTCTTGTGATGTAAAGAAAGTTACAGCACTGGCGGCACCTTGCTGCCATGCAGCCATTGAGAAATAAAAAAAAAGTATTATTTCATCTAAACTTGAAGAGCCTGTTGTCCCCGGTTACACATATTAAGACTTAACCCGATCGATGGCCAATACAAATGTCAAAATCAGTAATAAAGATACATATTCAGTCTAGAGAATGTCACAAGCACATAGATAGATGCCAATTCATCAACCTTTTCAAACACACTGGACAATGATGAAACTGTCAGAGGGCGTCTGAAGATACACTTATTCAAATCATGCGGAAAACAATTGACTAGGCATGCGGGACAAAGTCCGAGAAAAAAAATAGAAAAGTAGACGAAGAAGTGAAGAAATGTCGGATTCCACATCTGATTGAAAGCTTACACCTGATAAACCAACTTGTTTGAAAGTTAGAAAGGAAGGAAAGTCATGGTGTGATCATGCAGCTTGTAAGAGAAACATCAGCAGGATGAAAAAGCTCGCCCATGATTCCACATCGGTAGTTCAACGTCCAGATCGTACATGTATTGCCTAAAAGATTACAAGGTCACACAACGTCATGAGCCGATGTCGATTCCCACAAACAGTTGTATCAATTCTCCAACCCTGCATTCTCAAGAATTGTTTTGCATTCGCAGACAAACTTACCAGTTACCACGACTCACGAAGCATGATTGCCTGTGATAACTGTGACATGTGGTACCACTACACTTGCATTAACCTAGAACCGCAAACAAGACGCAAGTCATACATGGATAAAGGTACCTTTGCAGGTAGGTGCAGACTAAATAGTTGTAATGGTGGAGAAAGGGTGTTCACCAGTAACACAAGCTTGGATATTTCTTTCAATTCAAAAGATGAAGATATGCATGATGAACACATTAGTATCCCGATGCCGTAAATCAAAGGTGTCACAATGGATCGAATCATGTTCTAATTTCTTCAGCAAGAATATTTCATCACTTTGTGGCAGGGCCAACTTTTCCTTGTGTATTTCCATAGTGTATTATAATAGGAGTAGCTCCCCTTAGAAAAGAAAATCATTTTAGTTGAAGTTTGGATGCCCCCCCCCCCATTTCCTGGTAGTGTGACCCCCTGTTTGTTTATTTTAGCCCACAAGCCCCCCCCCCCCCCATATAAAAGCTGCCACAGTGTCATGCCAGAGTCATTATTACCCAGCAGACCAGCAGTGAGACAACTTAACATCATATAGTCATATATTTCCTCCTACCTGGAGAGTGTCTTCCTAGTTGTTTCTTTTGTCTGCTAGTCCAGTCATTGGTGAGTTTTCATTACTTTTCTTATTATTGTATAATTCCAGTTTTATATTTGCCATTATGATAGTCATATAATTCAGTTCAGCATCATTTTAGCTCCTTTTAAATTTTTTTTTGCTATACATGAAATCGTTTGAGTCTCCGCTCTTTTCTTATAGAAGCCGTTTTAACTAGCCATTTTGTTTAGAAACTTTTGATTACTGTTATAAGTTTTTATTCCAACTTGATTATTCTTTTGGCTCATTTCTAAACATTGGAAGTGTTCTCTTCTTTGAAAGTAATAAAGTTGTGTGATTCTAATAAGTTTTGTAATATAAGTTTGTCCAAGTTTTAATTGCTTGAGTCTAGGATTACCTGCATTTAGGTTTCATGTGTATGTTATCCACAGAGTTTAAGTTCCTTTTTCTTGCATTTTGAGTGGATTTTCATATTTTTCTAGATTTTTTTTAGTTGCTCTTTTTGACTACATGTACATGTACTTGTACATGTACATAGACCTGTATCCATTTATTTAGCCTAGACCATGCCTTAATCCTTTGTTCCCAAGTTTTAATTGCTTGAGTCTAGGATTACCTGCATTTAAGTTTCATTGCTTATCATTGTTACATTGCTTATCATCATATTTATTTTCTTTAACCTCTTACAAACCATACCCCTTACAACGTGGGATTGCCAGCTACAGCCATGGAAGGAGGAAACGCGGTAGACAACGGTGAAGCTGCACAGGCACCTGCAGCTCACCACATAAGCTTTGTGCCCATTGACCTGAAGGTCAGTATGTTTTCGGGCACGAAGCAGAGCGTCAATGACCCGACAGTCGAAGAGTGGATCACTGACATGAGGGCGCTCCTACAGACCTGGAACACTCCACCGCACCAGCAGTCCCAAGTACTCATCTAGTACTTGGGAGGGGAGGCCAAGCGTGAGGTACTGGTCATGCCAGAGGAGGAGCGGCAGCAGGCAAATGACATCTTCGCCCGACTACTTGAGACATATGGAGACAAGGTGCCAGCTGCCACGCTTCTGCAGATGTTCCACAGCAGGAGGCAGAAGTCCAAATTTCAGCGAAGAATCTTGCGTTCTCATTCCGTGGTTGCTAAAATTAAGCCTGGTCTGTTCAAGCCTGTTTAACATGTGGAAATACTATGGGTCACATATAGTCTGGGGATGAAAAAGCCTGATGGCTTATTCCTAATGGAGCATTATGTAGGAAAGTGTCCCCTACAAGATTTGGGTCACAATCTACAATGTACCTGTATCTTATCACTCACTAATTGCCACTGTTGGCAAATGCATATGGCCGGCCATCATTCAAGCATTTCATTTTACATTGATTATAAGATCACAGTAAAAAAAATAGACCATTTGTTAATGCTAATGAAAAGTGAATACATGTGACTGTGACAAAAAAACTGTTTTGTTCACTGACATATGAACAGAGACTTCCAGTCAAAAGCTGTCGTGGGAAGTTTATTTAGAAGTTTAATGTTTCAATTAAACTTAACATGGACTATACATGTACTTTTGTTTAACACCTTAAAGGGTGTAACTTCAAACAGGGCATCCCTCGCCCTTTTTTGAAGTTTATTCAAGATGCAGTCAACTGGAAGGACAGGCAGGATGTTTGGAGGGGATCAGGAAGTGCTTGAAGAGGTTGCAGTCCTGGAGAACGACTGCAGCACAGTGATATTTCTCACAACCTACTCCCCTGCTGCTGTCAAGAGAACGAATGGTTTCTCATCTGTGAAACTCGTTATGTTTGACATGGAGGTAAGTGGTTGTGTGATTATCATGTAGCTGATAGTGAGGCAAGGCTACAATCAAAACGAAAGAAAAGAAATACCGTATGGTACAGTACACCTAGAGTGAATGTTGATTTCTTAGAGAAATCTGAATAATGTTGTAGAATTATTTCTTCCAAGTTACATAAATACATATGACAATGATTAACACTATATCACAGAATAATGTGCATATTCCCCCAACCAAGCCGGCTCTGTACGTATTTTGTGCAAGGCGGACATTATTACTATCAAGACAAATTTGGGTGTTAGGGGGAAGGGGTTTTGCCTTATTTTACAGGAATTTCTGTGAAAAACAATTTTTGGGACAGAGCTGGCCCCCCCCCCCTTCTGGATCCGTGCCTGCGCACATATTGCATTCTTGCATGTTACACCATTACGAATATATATTTTAATCCCGCTTAATAGCTCGAATGGTTGAACCATGGTTGAACATATTGAAGGTCCTGAGATTGTACGGAGGCTAAGTTTGGTTGGTTGTTTGTTTGTTCTATTATAAGTTTCAGTTTGTTTTCAATCAAATCCTACAGGTACATCAGACAAGAGGTATTGCAATGGTGGTTTTGAGAGATCTCAATTATGAACTTATTGCATCTTAAGGAACATAGAACATTTATTTGTATATACATGTATACTTTACTGATACAGATGCTGTGACTGGTGAGATGAATATATTCCTAAAGGCGCACTTCCGTAACGACGAGGCAGAATTACTTGCAGAGGAGTGCGATATGCTCCTCAAAGAAGACCCAATACAACATGTGTTGGCAAAAGAAACAAAGGAGGGAGATTGGGTTGTAGACCTAACAAAAAATGGTAGGTATTCAATCAGTATTTGGCAGGCTGCACAAAGCAAACTCAAATTGACTATTAAAAACTTTGACACAGTACACAAGCGTATTAAAAACGTTGGAGTGTATTGGTGGTCTCATTATGGCTCTATGTACTTTGTAAGAAAGTATATCAAGCCCTAATGTCTGAGCAACGTAATGCATTGATAATGTTTGCCATTCCGATGTACAACAGGCCATTTGTGCATGGGGAATTGAATATCTGTGTACTGATATATTTCATCGCATGTTCTCGATCAACATTATATTATACAGACTTTACATTGAAGATTGTGTTGCTGTTTCACGTGATTCGGGGCAAGCATGCTCTTAGCAATCCCTAGCTTGGTATACATTTGTGACTTTCTTCTTCACTGTAAATGATCGTTATTGCTAAACACCTGTTATGTAACTAAGCAGATACAGCAACAGTATTTGGATCCGCCGCTCGGTCAAATGTTAAAAAGTCATGAGGCATTGACAAAAGGCCATTGCAGCCACAACACATGCACCCCACAGGCCTAAAAAAGTTTCTGAGTGCATTCACTGTCTTATTTTTTTCTTTTTAAGAAATAGTTTTGAAAAAAAAACCGGTTGTCTGTGTTCTTCAACCAATTTTTTTCTTGAAATATTTTCTCCAAACGTGTTTTTTTTATGAAAAATAAAACAATGAAAACAAATCACACTTTCATCTATTTTGAACCGCGTATGTAAACACACAAATGATACACCAACATATACAGTGGAAGCAAATGCTTCTTGATGAGGAAATGAATGCTTTGCAATTGCATTGATTATGTGAATTTTTGTCAGTTAGACTGACTTGGCAAATTCACATGTTGTTCTTGTCATAAGTAGGCGACTTTTAGCATCAATGTTACTGTAATATTCTTGAGTGTTCTCACTACCCTTAGAAATTGTTGTAAATCTTTTTAAAATTTTGTGTTGCCAATTATAGCAGCAGCTGCTCTAAAGGCTTGTGAAGGTGCAAGAAGTGCTGTGGTCGTGGCAAGTTCAGAGCATATTAAGAGAAGTATTCAAAAAGAAATTGCAAGCTATCTGCAGCTTGGCAGCTCTCAACTAGAAGAGAGAGACAGCCAGGATGAGGACTCCATGATGTCTCTGGATTCAGATGAGTGAAACGACGGTGTTAAGGCACACCTCTCATCTCAACAAGTAGCTCACCCATCAGCAAAATGTATGTATTTTCTAGAAACTCAATACACAATGGACAGATCTTGGGTTTGATGCAGGGTTGATACAGGCTTGACAATAAGGAACATTTCATAGCGCACAACTCTTAACCCAACCACGTGATGGTTATTGAAATTACATCTGTATTTTAGTGGTAATTACAGCATATTAATAAATTGTGTCAAATATGACTTCATGACAGCTGTGTTTGGACACACATACTTTATACAACTTTATACAAACTATTTGGATGCCTACAAAAAGACAACGAGCGCCAAAGAACTTATCCTGAAATTGGTTTCAAAGACTTTTTCTTATGAAGAACATGGCACAAGTGGGATGGACTGCGCGTAGCATTGACCAATCGATCGAGCTCGGCTCTTACCCACAGAGCTCCCACACACAGCCCTGACTAAACATTATAGTGAGCTGAGATGTAAATATTCCTGACTAAAGCAGTAGAGACTAATCTTAATTTGCACTGATATTGTTAATTGTGCCGACTTATTATTTTGATCAGACACAAACAAATTTTTTGTCTTTTGAACGGGCAAATAAAAGAAAAAAACAGTTATGAGTTGAACTGGTAATGTTTCTTTACGCATAAAGTTGTTTGAAATCTTTACCAGATTATCTTGTTTACAACAAGTTTATAAATATTTCATTAAAATTACGCTTATTTTTTTTATTTTATCAATTCACAGGCGATCGAACTGTAGCACGTTGGATGCAGCCACCGCACAAAAGCTACAGAAGTTCCACAAGGTACAAGGGGTTTATAGAAGCACGGGTCCCCGCAAAGGAGAACTCCATCCAGAAGGACAACCCAAACAGCCACTTCTACTCGGCACGGGTGAGGTATGCTTTGGAGTTGGCCTCCAAGTTCCACGAGTCATCCCTGGTCTACTCCGTGGACAACAAGAACAAAATTCTTCTTGGCGACCAGGTTGCGGCAGTGGACCGGCATCTCAAGATTCATCGGTTCTTCCCCTCTGGTGACTGCCCAAACCTCCCTGACCATGATTTCCCCACTCCAGGGTATTTCATAGTTCCATGTGGCTACCTTCAGATGCTTCCTCCGGCCCTTCCATCTACCCTGACGAAGGACGACCTTGGGCGGGACCAGTACGAGTAAGTCAACCTTAATTGTCATTTCATTAATTTAAGTCACTAAATTTGGCCCAAAGATTCCACGTACCAAGGGGGCCTATGATGTTGGATTAAAAAGAAAACCTGTCATAAAAAAAGGGTTTTTAATGCACATTTCTTGTCTGAAGATATAACATAATAATAACGCGAGTCAAGACAACACGTTGGTACTGTAAAGTCACGGTACTCATAAGCTCATACAGTAAAAATACCTGCAAGTATCTCTAAGAAAACACGGTTACATAAAAACAATGATTGGTGCTCAAAGTAACTGAGCAAAAATTACCACAATAATACATGTAGACGAAAGTATTGACTTTTAAACAGTGCGTATAGTCCACTTTCTATTGATTATATTCAAGGGAACATCGCCCGTGATAACAACGAAATATAGCAGTTCGGCATTGAACCCCGTGGAGCGGCTGTGGGCCCCGTGCACCCGGGCATTGACCTCCACGTCGATACCCGCAGCGCTCCCCGGGGAGCTGCCTCCCAAGCGGCAGTCCCTCAGCCAAGATGAACGAGAAAGGAAGGATGCAGAGGTGTTCAACAATGCCATGGAACGCGTCAAACACTATTGGAAGGGGCTCCACTACGCTGGGCATCCGGTCACCACCATCACAACGCCCAGCGGAACCCAAGATGCGCCCTTTAATGACTTTGATCGTGTTCACACTGCAGTGTCATCATCGGCGACTAGGCTGCGGGAGGATCGAGCAGTGAATGATGAATACAAGTTCGTCATGCGACACATGGATCGGCGCATTGGCATGGTGATTTTTGCTAAATGTGCCGATCCAGGGTGTCAGCACTGCTCGTCCAACCCCCCAGTTGCTGGTGATATGCTGCAGTGTGTGCGCGACTTTCCCACACCAGTTCCTTCATTGGACCACCCAGGTCATTTCTTTACATTCATAGAGGCCCTTCGACGTGGCAGAGACCCCCCATGTGAGCACATGCCGTTGTTCCAACAAAAGTCGTTAGGCCGCTGTAAAGAGACAGGGTGCAAGTATGTGTTTACTAGGAAAAAGGACATCGACGATCACAGGAGAAAGCTTCACAGATAAACAGTCATGATCAAGAAGTATGGATACAGCAAAATAGCAAAGTCATAGGTGATTTTTTTTCCAGACAGGATTTTTAATAGTACCTACATGTAATACTTTTTAAGCATGTTTCTGAAGATTACATTTGGACCGGATTATTTAATTTGGTCAGCAGATTATTTTATTAATGGTTTCTAATAAAGCACCTTTTCTACATATTGTCTTAGTGTCTGGCCAATTTCGCAGACCAATGCAAACAAAAAACACAGGGTCTGAATATCAATTCTACTACAGGTTGCAATCGAAAAGTACTGATGGCAAATCTTACATCTTATGTTAAAATCTAAATTTTTAGGGTGTTAGTTTATTTATTTAGTTTAACCTAACACAATAAAGCAAGACCAAGTTCCCGATTTTTTTTTTGGAATTTTTAAAATTGTTTTGCGAAATGTATAAGATCTCGATAAACTTACCGCCGGAATTTACTCCGGTACTTTGACGCCGGTAAATCTATTTGGTAATGGAACAGGAAAGTGCATTGGTGATAATTCTACCTTGAGAAGTTAAGTATGTGCAAAATTGTTTTTATTGTGTTTATCCGTGGAGCTATAAAAGCTGGGAATTGTTTCTGTTCTCGGAACCAATCGCCGAATTGCCGCAAGTATTCTTATAATCATGTTCATTTTGGAAACTGAGCTCGGTGTCTGATAATCTGAAAATGCTTTTCAGTCAACAGCTGTTCACAATTTATAAATGTACATTCGTAGAATTCCAATACAAAGTGAAGATCGTGCACAATATAAATTTTAACTCTAGAACTCACTGCCGGCACGCCGAGGCGGGCCGTGTGTATCCACGGTGTATGAAATGCGTTCGGCCGTGACGCCTATTGTTATGCGTGTTTTCCTCCAGCGCCGCACAGCGCCGGGCATCGGCGGGGCGAGGGAGGCCGTGAGCACGGCGCTCTCCGGCGCTAGTCGGCGCAGTGAAGCGGATCGCAGCGCGCCGAGTAAATTATTAAGGACGCTGGCCCTAAGATATTTATCTTATCTGGCTCTTTACTGATAATTTCTCTCACCCAAGAGAGACGTTACTAACTATCTCCCCCCCCCCCCCCCTGTTCTCCCTTCTCTTGCATTCTTTTTTGTGTGTTAAGCTTCAATCAAAGTTTATACACAAGACAAATTGCTGTTTCCTTTTAAAATGTCGGTAGTTTCTCGTGTACATTTTGATATAGCATTAAATTCTTGGTTTCCATCATTTATTAGGGGCCTGCATGACAGGAGGCCAAGGCGAGGGAGGACATAGCTTCATTCTTGAAGTATGCCCCACTAACAAGCCCGGAGGGACAAGATTCAGGGTAATATTAATTACACCAAATTACTGTGAACAGTATTTAAGTTGCTTGTTAAATAAACAAGTAAGCCTGGGCCTACAGAGTAAGAAAACACTCTTTTATATAAACGCAAAGTTATCGTAATGTCGACTTCACACTAATGGCTGAAGACAACATGTAATATCTATCCAAGATATACAAACTTGTACACTAGAAGTTGTTTGCAGATAGTGTACTCTTTACCAGACCTGCCTTTGAAGCATTAATCGCAGTACGCTTGCGGAACACAAAAATGAAATGTCAGTACATTTTGTTTACCTTCTCATGCACAATAATGATCCAAAAAGAAGTGACAGATAATCCAAAAATACATGTAAGTCAGTTGGTCATCATCGGTTGTCCACCAGCTGGAAAAAATATTTACATTGATTTTTTTCTATTTTTTTTATTTTTTGGGGCAGAATCTTGCCAACCCTGTTGACCCTACCAATGCTGTTGAGCCCGCCAACCCTGTCGACCCTGCAAACTCTGCAGATGACGAATAATGACACTGCATCTTTTGCTTGAAATTAAGTGCACCGTTCGTGCACTTCAAAATGCTGGCACAAGAGAGTTTTCATGGATTGTGCCAGTCATCGGCCAGCTCCATCTGGAGATGAACGCAGCCCGGATTTTCCTCAGACTGCACTGGAAAATTTTCCTGTCAAGACTGTAATATGTGTTGGGGTTCAAGACAGAAAAGAACAAGCAGTATTGTCCACGGCCTCCGTCACCACCTCCAGCCCCAGAACAATGGCCTCCATCACCACTTCCAGCCCCAGAACAACGGCCTCGAGTCCGTCACCACCTCCAGCCCTACCACAACAGCCTCCGTCACCACCTCCAACCCTACCACAACGGCCTCCGTCACCACCTCCAGCCCTACCACAACGGCCTCCGTCACCACCTCCAGCCCTACCACAACGGCCTCCGTCACCACCTCCAGCCCTACCACAATGGCCTCGGTCACCACCTCCAGCCCTACCACAAGAGCCTCCGTCACCACCTCCAACCCTACCACAACAGCCTCCGTCACCACCTCAAACCCTACCACAACGGCCTCCATCACCACCTCCAGCCCTACCACAACGGCCTCCGTCACCACCTCCAGCCCTACCACAACGGCCTCCGTCACCACCTCCAGCCCTACCACAACGGCCTCCGTCACCACCTCCAGCCCTACCACAACGGCCTCCGTCACCACCTCCAGCCCTACCACAACGGCCTCGGTCACCACCTCCAGCCCTACCACAACAGCCTCCGTCACCACCTCCAACCCTACCACAACAGCCTCCGTCACCACCTCCAACCCTACCACAACAGCCTCCGTCACCACCTCCAGCCCTACCACAACGGCCTCCGTCACCACCTCCAGCCCTACCACAACGGCCTCCGTCACCACCTCCAGCCCTACCACAACGGCCTCCATCACCACCTCCAGCCCTACCACAACGGCCTCCGTCACCACCTCCAACCCTACCACAACGGCCTCCATCACCACCTCCAGCCCTACCACAACGGCCTCCGTCACCACCTCCAGCCCTACCACAACGGCCTCCGTCACCACCTCCAGCCCTACCACAACGGCCTCCGTCACCACCTCCAACCCTACCACAACGGCCTCCATCACCACCTCCAGCCCTTCCACAACGGCCTCCGTCACCACCTCCAGCCCTACCACAACGGCCTCCATCACCACCTCCAGCCCTACCACAACGGCCTCCATCACCACCTCCAGCCCTACCACAACGGCGTCCGTCACCACCTCCAACCCTACCACAACGGCCTCCGTCACCACCTCCAGCCCTACCACAATGGCCTCCGTCACCACCTCCAGCCCTACCACAACGGCCTCCATCACCACCTCCAGCCCCAGAACAACAGCCTCAGTCACCACTTCCAGCCCCGGCACCGCAAGCTCTGGATTTCAGCCTTATGCAGGACTCTGATATGTTCATCCTACTCAACATTGGCGAAGAACTGTTAGAAGAGGGGCCAGAGCAGCAGCCTCACCCACCACCTTCTGGACTGGACCATCTCAGCTCCCGTGAGCTTCTGATTGCCGTCATTCAGAGGCTGGATAGGCAACAGAAGGACCTTGACACCATCAAGGAAATGCTCCGAGTTGAATCGCAGAGGTCCCAGTCCAATTGTGTGGAATTGGACAATGACACTGTGTTGATTTGTTAAGGGGAATTTACATTCAGTATTCCCAAGACAAACTATTTGGATGCCTACAAAAAGACAACGAGCGCCAAAGAACTTATCCTGAAATTGGTTTCAAAGACTTTTTCAGAAGAAGAGCTCGCCGTCCACAACTACCATGGGGGTGAAGTCCTTTGCAAGGGCGGGAAGGTTGTGTCCAAGGCGGCTTTGAAGCGTGACCCCAAATTTCAGGCCATCATGTCACAAGCCAGGAAGGTACATGTATACCCACAGTCTACCCCGTCTAAATCATTCATAAAATCAGTAAAAGATGCCATCAATGGCAAGTGTAGGAAAGTGGCAGGAAAGCTTGGGCTTTAAAGGGAAGATACAACATCTGCAAACATCGAAAAATAAAACTACCAAGTTTTTACGAAATACCTTACTAGGATGTTGGTAAACGACAATCTAAGCATCCTGTAAAATTATGGCACCTGGTGTGCAGTCATTTTCAAGAAAATTACATGTTTGTATAAACCTGACTATTGTTTTAAATACTGCTCCAAATTTACCAATTTTTTTAGTCCGAATTTTGTTTGCTATTGGTTGCATGATCATGAATGGGTGCAGGCCCACTAGATTGGTTTCCTTACCGTACAATTTTCCGGCATCTATAAATTCATCTTCAGTGGAGTCAGTGAGCCAGACTACTTGTACTTTTTCTTGGTTCTCCAGCATTTTCGAACACAAAAACTTCAAACATGCCAGCGTAACAATAATTTGATCTATTAAATTTGCTCCCACAATATTCCAGTAAGTGTAGGAAAGTAGCAGGAAATCGTGGGCTTTAATTCAATTTGCCTCCAAAATATTCCAGGAAATAATATATGTAATTTGTATGTACTGCTAAAATCATTTTTGTAATTTCATTTTCATTGTACATTATATATTCTACAATCGGGTCAAAATAAAGTGAACAATGGAGAAGGCTTATGTGTCTGATCGATTTCTGGTTTTTTTTATTTGCTTCCTTATAATTATTCTTTATGTAAGGTGGGTTTTTGTTTAACATAATACTATACTAAAAGGTTTATAAGGTCTGGAAGGGAAAAAACAAATGGGTTGGGATTCTTTGTTGCATTTTGCATACGGGGATTCAAGCAAAGAACAAAATGGACAATTGGATGTTATATTTTGAAAATAGTAATGATAATAGAAACAAATTTATAATAAGGCTAGCTTTGATTAGGTACGCATATGTTATTGTATGTCTGGCACCCATATCATTCTCGTACAAATAACATGCAGTAATGCACTAGTGTGGTTGCAGTGTTTTTACACAATACGTTTCGCCGTTGTACAAAACTCTGTTTCGCCTCTAGTACCCCAACCTTCAGGAAATGCTTTGCGAATTCCAAAAGGGTGCTAAAGGCTTTGAATCATTTCTCTTAATAAAGTCTGAACTTTCTTGGTACGAGTGTACTAGTCTGTGCCATTTTTATTTATTAAGTTATGATCAAAACATTTACGCTTTCAGATTTTAATTTACACGGTGGTATGAAAGGGCCCAAACGGTGATTATGATGTTTTGCACAATTGGTCGATGTGGAAAGTGCGAGTTGAGAATGCTAAGTTCTAAATTAAAGTTTTCGATAATAGGAGTCAGTATTCCTCTTGGTATCAGGATACTTTTTGTATTTTTAGGATACTTATTACCAGGGTTTCAAATTGACTGTTTTTTGTGGTTTCATATATACGGACCAAAACCACTGGACTCTCAACTACAAACGGAACTCGGTCCTTGTCCGTTGCATCGATCATATTGGGGGCATTTTTATGGAAGAACGGCGCGCCGCAGCGGCTCGCCCGACTATAATTTTTCATAACGCAGCGCGCTGCGGCCCGTCTTGTGCGTGGACCAAAACATCTCCGCTGACCTCGCTCATTAACATAACAATAGGACACGCACAATAGCAAAAGTTAAAGAGCTGATGTCTGGTCTGAGCGGCGCGCAGCGCCGAGGGTAGAGAGAAAATAAACGGGCCGGGAAATAAGCGCCGCACTGCGCCGCGGCAGCTCGTGTCGCGCCCAGTAAAATGTATTTGCCATCTGCCCTAAGGGAAGTGATCACCACAAAACCTGGCACTTGATCCAAATAGCATATATATGTCGCCCTCACAAAAGAATGAACCAACAGTGGATGGGTACTGGAAGTGGAGTGAAGAGGTCATCGATCCAAACTACCTGTACATGCAACAAATCACCTTCACATATTGTTAATGGAGTATATAATTCAGTTTGAACTTTTTCTACAATATGTTCTGAACAAAAGAAGATATTTCTGATGTGAAATTTGTTTTATTGTATACATGTATGTAGCTTTGCCAGAGAGACAATGTCAGAGATTGTCATACGACGTGTCGCGAGTTGAGAGATTGTCATACGACAAGACAGAAAGCGAGGGTCTGGATCCAGAGTGTACAATATTGAAGAGACACTCCCTCACAGCAGTAGCCAATGCAATCAGGGTGTATAAGGCTTTTGGGTACCACATCAACTCCTCACCAAAAGGCTGGCCCTCGCCCCCCTCCCCAGACTGATCCTGTCTCACCACTCTCGGCTGAACCTGTCTCACCTTTTGAGATCGGGTCATCTCCAGAGGGGCCGTCGCCGTGCGCCACATCAACTCCTTACCAAAAGGCTGGCCCTCGCCCCCCTCCCGGACTGAACCTGTCTCACCTCTCCCGGCTGAACCTGTCTCACCTTTTGAGATCGGGTCATCTCCAGAAGGGCCGTCGCCATGCGCCACATCAACTCCTCATCAAAAAGCTGGCACTTGCCCCCCTCGCGCCCCACTCAGAACTGATCCTGGCTCATCTTCCCTGAATGATCCTGTCTCACCTTTGCAGATGGATTCATCCCAAGAGCAGCCTTCACCGTGTGCTAGTCCAATCCCAGATCATTCTTATGCCATATCAACTCCTCGTCAACAGGCTGGCCCTCGCCCACCTCTCTGGACTGCTCCTTGCTCATCTCCCCAGACTGCTTGGGATTTGCTTTGCTACAGACCTTCTGATGAAGAGTTTGACGTCACTTCTCCCAAAAGGACTGCAGCCAAGAGGAAACGCACTCTCCATTGCTCGAGGAATGTACGGCAGCATTTAGACTTTTCATCGGACTCTGATGATGTTCAAGCTCCAACTATTGGACAGTGTACACGTAAACAAAATAAGTTAAAGGGTGGTTTTCTTACACCACGTGTTTTGTACAAAATGGTATGTGAAGAGGAGCCACAATATAATGAAATTCCCCCAGGAAACAAGGATAATAAGTTCTTTGTAATAGACAATAGTGGTAATATCGAAAGTAGAAAATCAGGGAAAAAGAGTGATTTCACAGATGACTGTGGAGCCTGGAATCGCGAGCTTACCTCAACTAAACGAACAGATTTTGTTCTTGTAAATGGTGACATTATTTCTCTTAAAACGAAAAGAGGTAAATACTGTAAACTTGTAAGAGGTGAAATGGTTGAAATCGATCCACAACCAAATGCTGATGACATTGTTATCATGAAAAGGTATTACACAACCCTGAAATGTGACAACACTTTGAAAAGAAGAGTGACTTGGTTTGAAACACTCCCCCAGCAGAGCTCTTCAAAATTGAAAACTGCTATTGTAGAATATCTTGGACAATTTCCCAAGAAAGGATCAAAACATGGAAACTCAAAAAGTGCTAATTTGTATTTCTTTAGCCCACGTCCCATCACTTATTTCCTTCAATTCTCACTTGGTAATCCTTGGCCAAAAAAGCAAACTGCATTGCGTGTAAAACTGTACAGCGGATCTATTGCTTTGTACAGCGTACATAGTGCCCATGTACCCACCGTCGTGTTTTACTATACGCCTGAGTACAACCTATTGTGTTTCCCTTTGTCCCTCTAATGTTACACTTTCCCATAGACTAAGCACATAACCGTACAATCGAGGACCGGTTTTAACTATAGGCACCGTCGTCTGAGGATCAAAGGCCCCTTTGTGCTCCTTTTGTTGTCTGTTCTCGAGCGTAATTCAAAACAAGAGCACCCACACGTGTATTACAGCGATCGATGAGTAACACACCTGCATGAGAGTCTATGAGTAACACGCATGCACGAGGGTCTGGATACGCCTTTATATATATAATTGCCCCTAACCCTCCTAGGAAAAAAAATTACGCGAACTGGGCTCTGACCTAGGCAGAGCACCTACACGTGTCATGTAGCATTGACCAATCGATCGAGCTGGGCTCTGACCCAGTAGACATCGCTGCCAACTTTTCAAAATCCCAATTAGTAATCAACCCGTGCGGTCATTTTCAACTGCTCCTATTATCAAAAGTGTTTGTACCAGCTTTACAAACATCGAGTACAGGTACATGGTTTACATGTGCATACCATTCTTGTTGTGAATATTAATGTACTGTTGGCCAAAAGGTTAAAAAAAAAAATAATAATAATAAGGTAGTGGATATTTTGCCGGAGGTAATGACGGCAAACTAACGATTACTAAAGGTTTGCCGGCGGCAATCCATATCAACAGAGGGCGCTGTACTCTTTAAAATAGGGCTGAATTATAAGATGTATTAAATTCCCATCAAAAGTTGTGTAGCACGTTTGGTGGAGTGGTTAAGCAAAGGCTCTAGTAAGCAGGATGACTCGCGTTCGATACCGACCGCACCACATTTTTAAGTTTTTTTTTTCTCATCCCCAAATAAATAAGAATATTCTTCTTTTATTATTTTAACATGTCTCAAACATTTTTGGCAGAGTATTACATTTTCTTTTTCAGATTTGTGGCTCTGGAGGATTTTTTTAAAAGGGAAATAAAATCCGAAATTATAAAATGGTCTGAATCCCATCTTGTGAATACGAGGTAACAACGATAATTTTGGCATGGAGCC